GGGGGGGGCGGGTGAGGGTCAGAGCAGGGTGGCCAGAGAGAGAGAAGGGGAGAGAAAAATTAAAAAAAAAATCAGCTTAGTTCCATACACAGGACAAAACCTCAAGCTTTTATAAAAACAAAATAAAAACCAATAGAAAACATGCATCTAAGAATGTGCTCTGTAGAAGAGGGCCTGTAGCGCATATTTCAAGTCAGAAAGTAATGTGAAATTACAGCTGGTGGGCAGTGCACTTCAACCAACCTCACAGTCCATAAGAACAGATTCCGATACCATACTAGGGTTTAAAATAAAAGTTTTTACTGTAAAAAAAATTGTGTTGTTTCATTTGCTTTTTGTACAAAGGGGTGTACAGTGTGCAGCAGGGATAGGAGGGCTTCTTCATTTAGTATTTGCATGATGGTGGTGCCTGATCCAGGCTGTGGCTTTACTGCACTATGCTGCACAGAAACACTGCAGGAGAGTTTACAGCATAAACAGCTACTGTAGGTCTGGAGTACAGGAATGCAACTGCCTTCTCTGATGATGAGAGCTCTCAGAGGAGATGTATCTTTTTCCTAGGATCAGATGAGAGCTAAGGCATATAAAGAAGGACTGGAAGAACTGGTGGAGGGTGTAATTGTGGGGGATCTGGATGCAGAGACAAGGTGATTGTAAGACCAAAGCAACCAGTCAACAGTTTTAGATCTTTAGAGCAAGTTTCTTGGTTCCATGATGTGAGAAAACACTGAGGAAACAAAACATATTCTGGATACTGGCTTTTTCAGGCAATACAGGAATAATAGCTCACCTCAGACAAAGCTGCTCCAAGGGCACTCTTTGTATTTCTGGTAACTGCTGGTTTATAAGATGATGGTTATAGTGATGGCTACTGAAAAGATGAAAGCAGACGCCTGAGGCTACACGGCCTGCTCGCCCTTTCCTTTGCAGAGCGTTGGCCTTGGACACAAATGTTTCTTCCAGACTTTCCATTCCTTTACTTGGGTCATATCTACAGGACAGTAAAAAACAGGCTTAGATTCAAGAGCGCACACTGAAAGGCTGGAGGTCAAGCAGGCAGATGCTGCCAATTTCTGTATGAACAGAATTCCCACCCCCTGCTGTTGGATCTGAGTCTAGACTGGCTTCCTCCACCTTGCAGTAGCTTTCTGCAGATCAAGTTCCTCGAAGTTTTTCCCTGCTCTTTAGAAAGCTAAAGCATGCAGCTCAGGGCATAGAGAAATTTCCCAGATCACAAAGTCCTGAGGAATGAATCCCAGTACCTTTTCTCTTTCATTTTTCCAGAATCAATCACATAGACCACATCATCAATGGTGACAGATGTTTCTGCAATGTTTGTAGAGATGATGATTTTGATAACTCCTGCAGGAGGCCTGATGAACACAGACTGCTGTTCTTCACTAGACAGTGAAGAATGAAGTGGATAAACAACACACCTGGAAGGACAATATGACAGCACACTCAGTGCATCTCCAGCCTCCTCCCTCTTGTGCCTGCACACACTTTTGCCTCTCTAGTACTAGACACTGTCTTACAGCCATTCAAAGCAATATAAACCCAGCAAACCTCTCTGCCATATCACCTTTAAGACACAGAATCATTTAGGTTCAAAAAAGACCCTTGAGATTATCAAGTCCAACCACTAACCTAACACTGCCAAGTCCACCACTAAACCATGTCCCTAAGTGCCACATCTACACATCCTTTAAATACCTCCAGGGGTGGTGACTCAACCACTCCCCTGGGCAGCCTGTTCTTGACACCCTTTTGGTGAAGAAATTTTTTCTAATACCCAGTCTCAACGTCCCTTGGCAGGACTTGAGGTCATTTGCTCTGGTCTTATCACTTGCTACTTGGGAAAAGAGACCAACACCCACCTCGTTACAACCTCTTTCAGGTAGCTGTAGAGAGCGATGAGGTCTCCCCTTAGCCTCCCCTTCTCCAGAGTAAAAAATCCCAGTTCCCTCAGCCGCTTCTCGTAAGACTTATGCTCTAGACCCCTCACCAGCATCGTTGCTCTTCTCTGGATGCTCTCTAGCACCTCAGTGTCTTTCTTGTAGTGAGGAGCCTAAAACTCAACATGGCATTCAAGGTGTGGCCTCACCAGCGCTGAGTACAGGGGGATGATCACTTTCCTAGTCCTGCTGGCCACACTATTTCTGATACATGTTCTAAGGGAAGGTGGAGAAGTTTACAGAAGGGAAAGGTCTCAGAATAGAGTTGAGCAAAAATTCTGCCTCTTTTATAGAGTCTAGAATCTGCCATTTAGAATGCCAGACTAGAAGAAAAATCACTCTAGCTAACCTTGCCATGGCCATCTGTGTAAAACTGTTTAGACAAGGACATCCAATTACATCTCCAAGTAACTAACAATCTAAGGCCAGATGTAACCACAACTGAATGTATCTCAGCAAACATTCTGAAACAGAGCAAGGGCTGAGATGAAGTTTTCAACAGTCCACTGGATCATGCAGAGGACAAAATGGAGAACACTCAGGGTCTCCAAGAACTTCAACAACTAATCTTCCTGAATTGAGGAGAAAAACCAAAAAGACCAAGCCAATAAGACAGCAGAGAAGGAATTACCCTGACTGGAGTCAAGACCTTCACATCACAAGCTATCTTACACATTTAATAACCGTTATTTATCCCAGGATAAAGGCAGGCTTTGTGCAGGAAGCTACTCCTTATTTATGGGTAAAGAGTGATAGCTTTGGAGCTTTTCTGCCTTACCTCTTGCTGTGCCTGTTATTAAAAAGAGCATTAGACTGGAGCTGCTCATAAAGCATCTTGATTTCTGCTAGACCAGGCAAAAATATCAACACAGCACCTATATACATAGATTTAAACAAGGAAAAATCACTCAACAGAAAGGACAGCATATTTTATTACTATGCAAATGGCCAGAGTCAAAACTCCAGCTCTGTTTTGCAATTATTCTACAAAAACCACACAGGCTGCAACAGTTCCTCACCAAAAACTTTCCAATGTAGACAATTCTCTCACCTTTCCCATCCCATGTATATCAGGGGCTTTGTTACTCAGCTAGAATTTGATTTTTTAAAAAAATAATCAGTCACTACAGAAACTCTGCATGCAAAACATTAGCTCTGGGCTGTCTATAAGCACTCTGCCTCCATGAATCTACTTTTATCTCTCAAGGACAGTAAAATTACCTGGGGGGTATGAATGTCTGCCAGCAACTATCCACTCCAGCAAGGCTTCAATTAATTCCAGATTAATTTTGTCCAAGTCCATGACAGACATCGTCTTCAACACCATCTTGTTAACCCCTGGGGAAAAATAAATAAAACACACAGTAAGTCCACCTCTTGTAAAAAATATCTGCTGGATGAACTGAACGAGTGTGACTGAACAACCAACCACACCTTGGTTTAAACAGCATCTGGCTTAGACCAGACAGAGGTAAGTGACTCCATGCATTGTACTTCCCCTTCCATGCTCTCCTCTGTTTCAGCTCTTCCTTCCTTTCTCATGCCTTACTAGGTCTCATACATGCCCTGTGCACAGCCTAGACCAGGATTCATCCACTAGCAGAATGACATGCACACATATTAGCGGGTAAGAGGAGCTGAAAGCCTTTGTATGGCCATTTACAGCTACATCCAGGACTCAAGCTTTCTTTTCCCTCTTCCAATGTTTCTTACACCAACAAGACACCCAGATTCCCTTATTCTTCTGAGACAGTAACTGTCTAGCAGGAATCTGAAGCTTTTAAGCAATGGCTGTCATGCAGTACCACTGTGGAGCGCACCAAAAGGGTGTGCAGGGAAGAACTCTTGAGGACTAAGCACAAGGAGGATTTTGATGATGACGGAGTGGGAAGTTCATAGAAAGGTCTGCCTCTTATTACGCCATTCACAGACTGACTTGAATTTTTCAAGGAAGGCTTGTCATGCTGAAGTGACCTCCTTGAAGTAGGCAGACACATGCTGTGCTTTAAGTAAAGCTGCTCCAGGAAGAATAGATACAGCAAAGAGGATGGAATTAACAAAGCATCTGAAAAGGGATGTAAACTGATAGCAGCTGAAAATCGTCCATCTTCAGATGCTAAGAAGGGTTTTCAGTCCAGATGTTTGTTTGTGTTTAAGAGAACAATGGCGTGTGTTTGTTTGGGGTTTTTTTTAAGCTGGCAGGTTTCTGATCTCATGTAGAAGTAGTGACGTGACTAACTTCAAAACTGAATTATATACACGCATTCAAGATATAACATTATATGCTAACATACCATCTTGGCTGGCATATGTTACATGCCAATTTACTAGATTTTAAAAGGAGCTCACCTTTATACCGTGTAAGGAGCTGCTTCAAAGTTAATTTTTGGTCTGGGTCTGAATCTCTGACAACTGTGTCAGTGCCTTCCAGAATGCCAGCACGTCTCAGGTCCTCCTCTACTTCTTCAAATGCAGTTCTTTTCTGTCTTCCATTCTGCTTGTTTTCTTGCTTTGTCTTGCGCCTGTAGGGACTACCATCCTCTAAAACATACCTGAACATCAGAAGAACATTTAGTGGCATAGAAAGCAGTCTAACAGTCTCCTTCTAATAATTAGCTGCAGAGATAAAGTATCAAAAGTATTCATATATGAATCTGAGAGGAACTTTGTATAAGTGGGTTGCAAAACCATAGACAGTATCGAGGTCAAGGTGTCCTTCCATACTGGGATGTTAGTCTTTAAAAGCTGTGATGTAAAAGATTACGACTACAAACTTGATCTTGACAGCTAAGCAGGCAGCTCAAAGCAACAATCTGTGAGCTGTTGTGAGTCTACAGTAACTACAAATGGTAACAGGAATCTGCAGCCCTACTGCAAAGTAGGGCTTACAAAAAAGAATTGTTTGGTATCCTGCATTTTTCACCTTCAGTGATGAAATCCACCTTCAAATGTATTTTGCTTGCCACTGTCTAACCACCACTGAAATAAGGAAACCACAAGCACTGACAAACTCTTCATGGCAAAGCAACTATGTGGTATCTAATGCAGAAAGGCTTGTTTTGGCATGAGATCCTAGACCCCACTGAAGTGTAAGTATGGTTTAAAGTCAGTGCTTTAGTAGAACTCCAAGACTGCTGGTGATGGGGGAGATCTGAGAGGATTTAATTTTTAAATCTATGTACAGAACTACTGAAGTCTCAAGGTCAACAGTGCAATCTCAAAGGTCAAATACATCTGAGAATGACTGCCAATTTCATACCTTGTCATTGCAATCACATCTTCCAGAAAAAACTGATCCACAGGAAATGTTCGACCTAAAGGAAACATGAGAATAAATCTACATGCCACACAACATGCAGAAAAGAGGAAAAAGACAGAGCTGGTTATAATTTCACACCGGTTATTATGTCATACACTGGCTTCACAGCTCTCATCTATACTGCACTTTTCAACACAATTTCTGTCTATGAGAAACAGTGGATGTTTTCCACGCAGATGTTTTCCACGCATGGTTTGGTAACATGAGCTTATGCAGTCACAGAAGGGCTGACACACTTATGGGAACACATCTGTGAGGCTACGTTGTTTCTGTCGTGCTCCATGTAATAAACTAGCAATTTAAAAGGCATATTTGGCTAAATGTGTACACACCCAGCTGAATCCTCTCACTGCTTCTTTTTCACAAGGACAGAGAATAGCTGTCCACAAGGACAGCTGTGGTGAAACTAGCCCAGGGAACCACATCATGCACACCATGTCATTTTTGTCTTCTGGGGAAGGAAATTCTGTGGGTATAGACACAACACAAAAAAGGCTCCATTTCCAGTCTTTCTTAAATTTCATTGGCCTTTCCTTCTAAGCCCTTGGAATCACAGTTCTTGTATAAATCCTGATCTTGCCACTTTGCAAATTAGTCCCTTACACTTGAATTGAAAAACACTTTCAAGCAGAAATACTGAAAACAAATCCCTAAAACATTGAATGTGACAATAAAAATGTTTTTCACCTGGTATGTTAATAATTGGACAGGAGTGAAAGTATTGAGAAAAAAGCTCTGCATTCAAGGTGGCACTCATTAGTATAATGCGCAAGTCTGGCCTCTGAACCATTATATCCTTCAAAACCAGCAGCAAGAAGTCACTAAAGAAAACAAGCAAAAAGACATTTGAATTTCTTTAGTGTTAACTTTCAGTCTCTTTTTTGCCTCCTGATTCTGACTTTCTGGTTGTCGCTTACTGGCGGTGTTGGGATTACTTGGCAAACTCATTTAAGCTCTAGCTACCGTATAAATTAATTACATTAATGACAGCACAAGAACCAATTAACTCAAAGTAAGAGATGAGTCCTTTTTGCTCCTTTTCCTCACTGGAAGAGTTATTAAAGCTTATACTCTTCCTCTGCTCACTGTATTCTTCCCCACATATTTATAGCTTTTGTGGCATGCCTAGAAAACTGGCTTGAAGTGATTTTGGATTCGAAGGAAGAAGAATCCTTGGGAGATACGAGGCCTTTTATGAGGCTAAAACATAAGCTGAGCTGTAGAATAATGGTTCACAGTCAAAGTATCATGTAAATCCACTCGATTGGAGTGTTTCACAAGGAAAACTTCAAAGAAAAGGATCCTTGCCACTTAATTTACAAAGATACTGACAGACATTATCTTTTGCCTGGCATCAGCAGGTACACAGGGTAAATCTGCAGAAGGCTGGAGCAGCATAGGATGCTCATGCAGAAAATAAACATGAGCACTTGCCCCTTGCAGGTGCTTTGCTGAAGTAAAAAATCCTGCATCAGGAAAAATAATTCCCAAAAGGGCGTGTGAAGAATTAGGTAAAAGCTGAAAGTAAGGGTATAGTAAGAACCAGACAACTGTGGTAAAAAAGTTACTTAACCCTCCAGCCCCACCCAACACAACCTGATTGCAGATTGGAGGTATAAACATTTAAGAGAGACATGATTTCTCTGTAAACTCCTGTAACAAAACTTCCTACTGCCCAAAGGCAAGAATCTAAAACCAGACTCCTTCCATCATCCCATGTTACTGGCACAGGATCAACAAGTCTGCTTCAGTTACCTGCACCTTAGCCACCTTTATCATTCTGACTACGTTTCTTCATTTTGCTTACAGGATGAGAGATTATTTACCTTTCTTCTGTTCTTTCGTGAACTTCATCAATAATAACATGTGTGATTCCCTGCAAAGTCAGATCTCCTTCCAGCCTTCTCAACAGCACACCAGTAGTGCAGTACAAGAGTCTGGTAGCTGAGGACTTGAACAGTAAGACAAAGCGTTCAGTGGACTTTGTGCAACAACACAATGCAAAGAGAGTATGTGCTGCTGTAAAGCATTTGGTTTGAAGCAATCCATGCTGGTGATGGGCTGAATGATTTTTTGTTCTCCTTAAAACTTGAGAACACCTGCTTCTTACTAAGTGGCATTGCTAACTATAAGGGATAAACAACAAATGTGAACTGTTTTTCCTGTGGAAGTTGCTTTCTGATAAACAACTCAGATCTCTGTTCTTAGAAAGATTTAGTGAACCTCTTTTTAAACACAGTTCTTGGAAAAAGCAATCAGCTGCAACATAAAATTTCACTTCCAAGACAGCAGTTTGGATTCAACCCCACTTCTGGCTGACACAAGCTGTACCCCTCAATCTCCACTTGGGAGACAAATGGAAATGGTTGACGAGTGGAAATTAAGTTAGTAGCCTTCCAGAGGTTATAAGTATTACACATACTCTCAGAGTCCTTCACCTGTCTCAAGAGAAAGCAAAAGTACAAGACACAGTACTACACTCTCATTCTGTAAAGCGGACTGTGCAACTTGAGATGAAATAAAATAAAGAATGTATTTTGTAATATAATATAAAATACTGGTGATACAGGCTTGCTTATCTCACTATATGGCAGATATAGGGCAGAAATTCTGTATGCTAGAGAAGCACTAAGCACATTTTAATATAACTAAATGAAAATCAACAAGCAAAACACACACACCTTCACACTTTCTAGACGGATCTGATATCCAACAGTGAGTCCAATCCTTTCTGTTCTTTCTTTGGCTACACGTTCAGCCACAGAAATGGCAGAGATCCTGCGAGGCTGAGTGCAGATGATGTTTGCAACTCTGCTTGGAGATCCTTGCAATGAAGCATCCAGAATAAACTGAGGAATCTGAGTGGTTTTCCCACACCTGCATGACAAAGTCAGGGATTAATTGAAAAAAAACCCACAAACCCAACACCTTCAATCCATGTAAACTGACTGCATTCCACTTGGAATTTGCATTGTTTCATTAGTGTCACCCTTCACATGAAATTTGTCTAGGACTGCTGTCACTGGTCACAGATGGACCTCAACCTTTCAGGACACGGACACATATTTCACATTCTTCTGTGTATACTTATATATAAACAGTATAGTATACTGTGTATACTATGAAGTCTGTATGTGCAATCACACTCTTACCCCGTCATGCCGCTCACAACAAGAACTTGGTGGCTCTCCAGCAAGTCAAGAATGGTTTCCCTCTCTTGCCATGCAGGGAGCTTCTGTCTTTCATACAACATGGACTGGAAGTGCCTAGAAGACTAATGCACAAAAGCAGACAGCATGGCAGTAAGAACAAACACCACTGGAGTGGAACAGAACCATCTGAAACAGCAACCTGTGGGTTAAATATTTATTTCTCTAAAGTAAGCACAAACCCAGATATTCTGTTCTGTACATTATACCTTTTTCAGTCGAAACTGTGTGCAGATTTTAACATTTTCATTGCATAGAGACTTTGCCTGCCCATCATATCTTTTGGAAAGCTTTTTCTTGAGGTTCACGTAACTCTCATTCTCCACAACAACTTGATCAGGCTCATCTTCCTCCTCCTCTTCTGCCATCTCTGCTTCCTGAGGCTCTGACACTGTTGATGCTTGAGACAGAGAATGTACAGTTAGATATTCTTCTTACTAAGGAAAAGGACCTCATCGGCACTGCAGAAGAGACACACATGTTCCAGGAGCATTCTCAACAAAGAACTTTGTTAGACTGGAGCTGAGGGTCTGTAGGACTGTTTTTGACATGCATTTAGTTCAACACTACCAGCAAATCTTCCCTCACCACATCAAACAAACCACAACCTCTCTAGCTCCAACCCACTTGTCACTACCCCTGGACCAGCTGTGCTCTGCAACACCATGGTCTGGGTTGCCATGTGCTGAACGAGACTGGTATCTGGTTTGCCTTCCTGAACACTTTTCATGTGTCTCATCTCCACTCTCCAACCCACACAACCACTTCTGTAGAGCGCAAGACTGTGATGGCAGTACCAGCGTAAATTAATTAAAACTACACTGTAACATTAAGTGTTAAGCCACTACCAAGTACTTTTAAACCAAGTCTGACACTGGACCATGTACTTTGGTGCCTACTGCCTATCAGCTGAAGTTGGATTTGCTGAGACAGTAAACCAGCCCTTGAAAGTTTTAAAGCTATATTTATCTAAACCAGGTATTTCATAACATAAGGAAGATTTTATAACATAAGAAAGATTATTTGGAATCTCTGATTTCAACTTCTAGAACAATGCTGTCTTTCTGGGGAACCGTTAAAAAAATGGAATAATTTGTTTTACTATAACAAAAAAATAGGTTGTCACTATTTAAGTACTCTAAAATGTGATGCAGTTGTTCTTGAAAACTCTCTTGAAGAAAGTTTGCCTTAGATGAAACAGTTTTGGAATTGAGAGCTCAAAGGTCATCTATGCCATGGAGTTGATGTGACCCTGCCCTAACTGACAGTCTCAACTCTCCCCCTGTGAAATCAGCCTAGTTGCACTTGCGTGCAAAAAACGGGATGATACCTTGAACAACATTCTAGAATCGCTTGCAACATTTACTTAGCCTTAAATCCACCTTTAGAAAATTAATTTTGAGGAGGGGTTGGTAATTTTAAGTATTGGGTTTTTTTTAAAAAAAGATGTTTCTGAACTGATGAGCAGCAGATGCAGCAAAGCTTGCAAACAAAGTTTTCCATTCCCTTCCAAGCACACTTCTCTGGTTGGTTTTGGTGAGCTCACACCACATTTCTCAACGGCTTTTTATTGACTGGGAACAGGCATCTCTTTCTCTGTGCTCCTATAACTCAGTTCTTGTTCTGTGCTCCTTTAACTCAGTTCTTGCCAGCAGAAAACCTCTTTGCTGCAGCGTTATCATGGAAGGGACTTCCTGAGGCACAGACAGATTATGGATCTGGCTCACCCCATGACCTTAGTCTCCAGAAATAGATTTGGAACAGACACCTGAATCGGGTTCTCTGCCTTCTCTCTCTTTATTTATTTATTTTTAAAAAAATCTTTTTGACCATTCTTAGCCCAGAAATTGTAGAGGGAAATCTGGTGTACCTTCACACATTTGACTTGAACCAGATGTACTCTTTGTCTGTAGCTTTACTGAAGGTGTTTCCAGCAGGGACGTAGGAGGAACACTGTACTTATGCTTAGTATTTTTAAGTAACTCGCTTATTTCAGATTCATCTTCCAAGCAAGTCACTAAAGTGTATACCACGGGTTCATTAGACTCTGCAGCTATCAAGGCCTTTCCAAAGAGGAATTCAGCAATGTGTAAACGACAAGCAAGAGGTAGATTCTCATCAGTGGAATAAAATGCCAGAAGGGGTGCCTGAAGTGGATACTTGTTTGCTTCAGGAAATCTTACTTCAAGTTCATATACAGGACCATCAGTTTTAGGTCTGAGATAAACATCATCTACAGAGTTCCTGGTTGGTGTCAGTGGGTGGTTTGGAGGGTATTCATGTCCAAATCTGCATTTTGAACCAAACCTGCAGCCTCCTTGGAGATAAAATTTACATATTTCCTTTGAAGTCTGCTTTGTTCCGTCTGTAGTACAAACACCCTTTTGTTTAGATTTGCTGAGCCTGTTTGCTAGGCACTCCAATTCCAAAGTCAAAGTCCAAACACGGTTTTGAATTCTTTCTACAAATTTTTCTCCATAGATTGACCGGAGGGCAAAAGCCTCCTCCTGTCTCTGTTCTAAACATTCTTCTTGACTGGCTTCAGCAGCTGTTGCAGAAACCTGCATCTTCTCTCCATAGCTTTCAGTAAAGCACTGCAATAGCAAATACTCCAATGATGCCCCAATATTACCATTGCAGGATCTCAGTACTGTCCTACAACGCTCACTGTCAAAACCATACCTGCAACAAAACAGACATGGCAACAAATGAGTGACAGATTTGTATGAAGCAAAATAACCACAGATTTGCTTGATTAGGCTTACAGTAAAGAAGCATGTATGGCATGAGATACTACTATTGGGGTAAAACCAAAACCACACCAAAATATTTATGCTGTTTTAAATGATGGTGGCAGGCAGTAATCTGGACTCTGTGAATACTAGTCTGTTGTTTACAAGGTGACAAATTAGTTGCCATGTATGAATGAATGTAGCACATTACAAGATTAGATATAAATTAAACTCTTCAGAAAAAGCTGAGTCCCACATATAAAACACTCCCGAAGCAAAACCAGTTAATTAAATGCTCATATCCAAGCAAAATGGATGAACACTTAAAAGGTTTTGAAACATTACCTACCTGGAAGAAATGCACATATAACAGCAATGCTCCCTGAGCTTTCCCACTATCAGTTTCATTGTCTTAGAGAAAGAACTGAAAACTTCACTTAAAAAGGGCTGGAGCGACTTATTTTCATAAACCCATTACTTGAAATTCCTCTAGTTGAGGATCAAATTTGTAGGAGACACAAACTTATCAGTACCGCTCACAGAACTTCTCTGGAGTCAAGAGGAAGTCCAAACACTGAGGGCTTACAGTATCAAGACTAATGATTTACCTCTTCAGATACAAATTATTCACTGAAAAGCATCACCTGGAGAGTTTGTACACAGCAAATGAAGACACTTCACTTTCCACAATTCTATGCTCAGCTGGCTCAGTAGATGACCTTGGTATTATGTCAGAAAATTCCTGATCTGTTGACCAGCACTGTTCATCATCAAGGTAATCAGGTTCATCATCATCTTCACCGGAACCAGCTACTCTGATAAAACAAGTTACCAAATTAAAATGAAACAAAATTATGCTGTTGAGTAGACACAAACCACTGCCTATGCAGTTTTAAATCCTCCATTTAAATGGAGGATTCTGCTACCCCGTTCCCAGAGTTAATACTGTAGAAGAACAAAGCAGACTCAAAACCATAGGATTTGAGATCAAATTAAAAGTTAAGGGAAAAAATAATATTGTTTTAATTTCTGACAGTGTGCCTATTCAAGCACGCTCATTGAGAAGAGCTAGAAGTAGTGCCTCCATTTAAACTAACTCTGATTCAGGAGCCAGCTCCTGCCCTTGAAGCTCTCGAAGTAGTTCTTTCACTCTTCTCTGATTCTCTGATGTCATATGTATAGTCTGCAGAGGCATTCTTGCTTCAGGTCTCTGTTTCGTTTGCCCTCCTCTTCTGGCAGGGGCATTTGATCTAAAAATGAAAATAGAACACAACAATGACTTATTTGCCTGGCTCAAATGATCTTGACTCTATTAGGATGTGTTAGGATACAACCTTGTAATTCAAAACAGGAAAACCAAAATAAGACAAGTAAATCACCTAAGGATTATTCAGTTGCGTTCATTCTTATGTGACCAGGATGTGTGTGTCTATATCTGTGCACACACACACATATGCATATGTGTATATTATCCTATGTCAAATCCAAAGCAATTTAATAAACACTTTGGGAGATTCTGAGACACACAGTTACAACCATGTACTTCTAAGCTAGATTGATCAGAATAAATTCAGGATACTAAATTCATTCTAAATTGCTTATTTTCTATGGCCCAGCTTCTGCTCTGTAATACACAAAATTTAATATCCTGTGATTACTAGCGTTTTCTGATCAAAGATGTTCTGAAATTACTTTATGACCAAAAAAGAAAAACAGAGGTTCTAATCTTCTTTTAAAAACCCACTTTCCTAGCTATGTTAAATGCATTAATCAAAAAAGACATGTAAAAACTGTTTCATACTGAAACACCTTCATCACCCCTTCATTCTTCTGTATATTCTAAGATGTCCAAAAACCAGCCCTAAAGTATCCCAAACATCTCTACACCAAATCACCCCAAATTAAGAGAAAGACCTGGATTCCAGCCTTGGTTCCTCAAAGAGACAAAAATCATCTCCATCGTCCCAAATTCTGTTTGAACATTTCCTATTTCCACCAAGATGAGACTTGTTCGAATGGCCACTGCTGACTCCTCCTCCTTTCCCTTTTCCTCTTCCTCCTCTCCCTCTTCCTTCTCCTCTGTTGGGCTTTCCTCTTTTCCTCCCTGCTGAATTCATGTTCTCTTGCTGAGGAAGGGAAAAGTACCCCTTAGTTATTAAGATGATTTAGCACATTACAAATGTCTGAGCATTATTTGAACATTACATTATTTGTTTTTTCCCACGTGACAAAAGAAGATACCCTCTCAAACTGCAGTTATTTATCTGTATGTTGGTGTATTTGTATGCACCTGAAGCAAAGCACATTATTCTATAACACTGTTACACAAGTTTTGTGGTTTTAGAAAATAAAAACAGTATTCCTCACAGGTGTTCAACCAAAAACTGCAGGATCTCTAGCGAAACGATGAGCCTAACGGAAGTGCTACCCAACCTGGGAGGTCCAGTTCTGCCACTCATGGAATTTTCTTGCACATGGGAGCTCAAAGGACAAACCTTCAGGGGAACTTTGACAGAATGCCGCCACTTTTTGACTCGAGAGTTTGCAAGGCTGAGAGTAAAAGGTTGAAGGGGAGCCGAAGCCAAAGATACAGTTTGTTTCCACATTAACCTGCTCCTGACCCATTCCCTTCTGCAAGGACCTGCCCAGATAGCTGAGCACTCTGTGGAGTCTGTGCAGAGGAGTGATTAGGAACCTGTCTTAGAAAACTGAAGCCCTCCTATCTTTCGCACAGCAGGATCTTCACCAGCTTTGACAAAAGCCCATTAGTATTAAGCAGTTGTCAGTGACAGAACGGCCCAACATAACACACGGCCGAGCATCATGATCCTGCAAATGGAAAGGTATTGCAGGGACAGGTGAGCAGCTGTGGTGGTCTGGCAGGAGCCAGACCTGGATCTCTACAATGGCACCTTCCAAGCCAGGACAACATGAATAACCAGCCCAAGTGAGGGCTTGGGAGAGCAGAAAAAGTCTGGGGCTTGGAAAGAAGCAAACTTCATTTTTTGTGGCAGTCCTCCCCACTGGAGCTCCACCAGGACTGGACAGGCTCTAACAGACAAGCTGACCTAACTCGGAGCAGCCCGGCAGAAGTGAGGGAGGCTCAGAGGGTGAGACCAGCATGCGGACACAGGTACTTGCAGCCATCCCGTCGGACACTATCACATGGGGTCTGTGTCTCCATCCCCTCCACACGCAGCACTGAACAGCCCCGCTCCCTGGCCCAGCACCTCCCCGTGGCCCCGCCTCACAGGACCTCCCAAGGACGTCCGGTCACCAGCACCGTGGTGGTCACACGGGGATCCCCCAAACCTCCTCTGCTGGCCCTGGCCCTCCCTCCCCCCCTCACCGCAGGGTCCCCGTCCCGTTCCCTCCCGCCCATGTTCCCGGGACCCCATCCCCTGCCCACAGGCCCCTGCACACCCCCTCCCTCCCCACGGCGCCATTACGCCCTTCTAGGACCTCCCCCGCCCCTC